ATATAGGTATATACTAAGTTTCAGTCTTTCTAGTGTTAAAAACTCTGAGTAATATGTGCAAGAAGTAAAGTGAATCGAAGAAACTGTTTTTTGTTTCAATAACGTAGGTGGAGAAATCGTGGGGCACCCACGACTCAAACTAATAGGAGATCAAAGCGGCGGCGTCTACAATCTAAAGATCACGGATGCCTCTTTGACCGATGACGGGGAATATCAGTGCCAAGTTGGTCCATATATGCGCATTAAAGCGATCCGTGCCAACGCTCATCTCATCGTCATCTGTAAGTACACCGACTCCTCTTTTTCTCTCTTTTGTACGTTCAAACACGTCACGATGGATTCCCGTTTTAACCGGGAGAATTATTTTTAGACTGCAGATTTTACTTATCTGTGGGAAGCTAGTGAAAAAAATGTGCACATGAAAGAAATTCCTAAGTTCTAAGTTGCATGTTTCCAAATATTTAATTTTATATAAAAATCCGTAGTCCGTTTTTTAAATCGATCATTTTTATTGATACAAACTCGACGATATGAAAATCGGCGTTAAAGTTGGATGGTTCGATTCGAGTTCGGTGTGAGTCTTACTGTCGTATAATTTTGATGATTCCGGCGAAGTTCGGATCCTTGGTAAGGAAAAAAGCGTTAAACTGCGGGGCATTCTGAAGTAATTAAAAGTTTCCATAACTTTCTTGAGCGAGCACGCTTTTCTTTAAATAACCGCTTATCCCGGAAAGGATCCCCTCCCTTAAATAATACTTTGTTTAATGAAAGAGAACTTTCCTTTGACTTTACTCGTTTTTTCCTTCCCTTGGCAACTTTAATTCCATCAATTCGCATGAAAATAACCCTCCAGCGCTACTTTTAATACCAATTTTGTTGAACGAAAATATCCGTCTAGATTCCTTTCCCAACACATTTTTTATAATATAGTTGGGATTAATCAGATTCGGATTTTTATGCAAAATTTATTATATGAAACGTTGTAATTTCTTCTATCCTTAAAAAATAATTTTACTTTTGAGATTGTGTCTTCGGTATTATATTAAATTCGTAGTCTGTTAATAAGATGGTTTGATTAATTGAAATAAGAGAGGTAACTTTTAATCTTGCCTATCTAAAATTAACGAAGATTAGTGTCTACGAAACTTGCAAGACGTTTACGGTTGGAAACTGTTGGAAATTTCGCGTACGAGACGTAGCACGGTTGAAGAACAATAGCTCTTCGAGCATTATTAAGAACGCTTCGACGAATCCGACCTCCGGGCCATCTCCGAGCTCAAAGTTCGATACAATCGCGTCGAGATTCCCTAGCCGATGCGGTCAACTTCGCGCGTTAACAAAGACATTTCCCGGAACTTATTCGGAAAGTCGGTACCGGTCGGTAAACCATGATTAGCGACAACGTGTCGTAAACCATCGGACGCGCGCCGTTGCAAACTAGTTTAGAAAATGTCGCCCCGTGTCCTTATCTATAGATTTCCCGTCTCGACTCTCACTGATTCCCAAACGGGCAATCATTTTAAAAAACAAATACATTATACTCTTTTAGAGATTATAAAAAATCTTATTTTCTAAAAGACAAAATCCATGACATAAAAAAAAATTGTGAAAGAGCTTTTACAACAGTTTTGAAAAAAACGCGTGGTACGCTTCTTGCGTGCTACAAATTGGAAGAAGTTCGAATGCATTTACAAAGCCACGGTGGAAAAGTTGCGCCGTTAAGGAAACGAGGATGGGAAGAGGAAAAAAAGCGGAAGAAAGGACGTGTCCCAAGGCGACAAGCATCTTGGTTTTTCCGAGAGCTTTCCCACTCGCGTGCAGCTTTCTCTTTCGCGTTCACGCCTACGGCCACGCGTAGTAAAGTGCTCGGGCGGTCAACTCATCTCCGGTTGAACGGGAACCGCGGTTCACCGAAAGGCAGCAGCGCCTGGGTCAGTCACAGACGTTGACGACGTCGTTCCGCGTGAAATATTAAATCCTCGAGGAGGCGTCGCGAGACTCGGGACGTTGAAACACGTCCTCGTTCGCTGGATAAACGGTAGCTTCATCACGCGAACCGACCTCTATCACCGATTCCCGATAGCGAACGAGAAATCGACCAGCCAATAGAATTTTTATCAGTGTCCGACCAAGATCGACATTCGTATGAAAATTAATTGGTATTTCCGAGTAATTTGGAATCATTGTTTAAACATCAGATGATCGAGATTGAACAGCTATAACATTTTATTTGATCGACGTCGGTCTGATTAATGTCTGCTATTTCCTTTGAGCAATTTTGCATTACATTATAAAATGAAATGTTTGACTGGATTCTGAATAATTGATTCAATCGGAAGTAGTTGAGAATAGCGAACAAATTCGGCACGTGTTAACGACGAGTTTAAGAGAGAGAGCGGCCCTCGTTTTATGCCTCGTGAAGTTAATGAACGTTTCGCAGTTCCCACGAAAATTACCTTTTAGAACGGAAACCTAAATCTCCGGGAACAGTGATAAAAGTTTACAGGCACCGGTAATGATACTGTTTTGTCGTTCATGGTATTAACAGTAAAAACTTTTGCAGCTAGTCAAAATTCTTTTTATCGCTCCCCTCCCCCTAGCTCTAACTATTTTACCAACTTTCCCTGTATAGCTTGTTGAAAATTTTCAAATTCTCCCTCGAAACGTATAGTTTTATCGCTTTTGAACGAACGACGTTGAACTTGTTACAATTTATTTCAATGTTGACCGTCGTTTTTTTAGTTCGAATTTGTATAAATTCTTCGGTGAAGAACAATATCTGAAGCAACAGCTCGATTAAAATTACACGAACGGAAAACTTGTCGATGGTGTATGAAAAACTGATAGGCTAGTACGATTGTGCCGTAAACTGCGACACGAATCACGCGAATTCACGTGCTTTAACCGTTGTATCGGATACGTGAGGTCGAAATCACGCGCGACGAACACACAGACCGCGGTGGCTCTTGCAAGCGACGTGACGCGCGTGCCCTCGGTCCGCGTACGTGTTCCGGAAACGGAAAGGGACCGAAAGGGGTAAGGATACGCGAGAAGGGAAACCGATACGATCGACGTAAACCGGGCCAGGAAACTATATCACCTCGCCGCGGATAAATATTTTATGAGACTCAATCCGGTAGCTTTCTCCGTTCAACGGTATCCGTTGTTTTCCTTTGCCCACCTGATATTCACGTATATCGTGCGGAAATTCTTCGCCTGGCTGTTTTTAAAAATGTTTCTCCAACGGTAAATCGTTATTTCTGTCAAATGCTTTAAACGGAGTTAGATAAAAAAATACCATTCGATTGTTTCATCCAGTCTGATAAATTTTAAAGAGAGTTCATCGACGAGAAATTGTTTGATAAGCAGGAATTAATTTCTACCAGGACTTGGAGAAATTCGGACACGTTGATTAGAAAAGAGGGATTAGTAAACGAAGAGTTATCGGAGAACCTGTTTTTCCTGTGGTCCAGCGAGGATCAAGCGATCCGTAAGTTATTAAACCGATGTAATTGAGGTTGAAAAGCGGCGTCCACGGTCGATCCTTTTTCGTTTCCCTTGTCCATTATCGTTCCTGCGGGGATACAAAAGAAATGAGAAAGTGCGAGACGTGCAACAGTGAATCTTTTTCCCCGTTCTCGGGGAAACCATCCCGAAAAGAGTAATAAATGCCTGGACGAGGGCGTGCAACCAGCCCTGTTTCTTCACTGCTGGAAAATTGGACCTGAAAGAACATTGGCTATGTAATTACACGTTTCCGAGTGGCGAAGTTGGAAGGTAACCCGGCTTCTCCTTCTTTCTTGGTAAAATAAAGTTAGAGCTTGGCTACAATTTGCGTTCGTCATCGCCCACACCGTTTATTCTGATAAACTCGATGATACTTTACCTTTATGGAGCAAGTAGGGACTCGTAAATTCCTGGGAGATTCTCTAAAAAAGTTTTCGCTGGATATTTCACGTCGGGCCAAGTGAAAAATGGCAATAACTCGAAAATAAATCAAGACCCGAGGATAAATAATAAAAGGAATTATCAAGCAGCAACGCCGAGACAAGAAAGTGTCACTGAGAAAAACGCTGGGGAAGTTTGCCCGCCTTCTGTGAAGTTGAAGGGTGGCTCCGTAATTAGCAAGGTTGGAGTCGCTTGAGGAATAACGCTCCATTTACAATCACGCGGCTTCCCGAGCTCAGTTTTGCGCTATTTCTTCGCGAACAACGACGAAGAACCAGAGAGCGGACGCGACAAAGGCGAAAACCAATTACTTCCGACTACTTCTGCTCGAATACCATGAATGAAAAGCGTTAGAAGTTTCCACTGAATATGCGCGAGAAGAAGTAATTTCCCTTTATCAACAACTTCTTTCTTCTCCCTTTACACCGGTCCCGTTTGATTATTATAGGAAAATCAGTTTAAGGATTTAACAATGAAAGAAATATTTCAACACCACATGCGCGCGAATGAAAAATTGTCTTTGAGAGCGTACAGAACGAAAACGGCAGGTACTGGTTATCGAGAATGAATCGATTCGATGCACGGCCATTCCCCATTTTTCGTTTCATTCCCGTATCCCAGAAAATTGGATCAATTTCAATATTTCGAAACGTGCACCCAGGTCAGTCGAATCCGAACGCGTTTCAACTTTTTGCGAAACAAACGCGAAACAAACTCTCGCCGTAACGAACGTAGTGCATCGCTGCTCCTCTTCTCTTCAACGGTTCTCTCGCACGGGTGAGGTACACGAACGGACCTATCGCCTCGTGGACTTCACCGTTTCGCTTTCGGCTGTCATACCGAGACGAACAATGAACGCTAATTCGAGCATCTTCTGTTCATGAACAGTGTTCCATTTAATCTTATGAACAAATCATAAGTTGTACCATAAAATACGGAACTTATTCTGAGCAATGTCGAACACGAAGCAAACGCTATACATATTTCGCATAGTTCTGAACGAAACTACAGCACCCAATGGAGCCATCGATCGAATTCCAACGGCACAAAGTGAAATCGGTCCCGCAACGGCCATTTAAAACGCGAACTCCGTATTATCAGATTAGAGCGGCGTAATAACAACCAAGCGAACTGCGAAAGGAAAACTGCGGACTCGAAGATTACGCGTAATGCTCTTTAAGAGCGGTAAAAACAATAGAAATTGTCGGGAGCTGGCTTTTGTGGCCACGTAATTCGCGGGAACCGTTCGTTTTGTTCCATAGAGTCCGAGGATCGTGGCCGATTTAACCTGCAGAAATTTCTTTGAGTGTGATCTGCCCCAAACAAGATCTAA